CACACAGACAACCCCTCGACAGTATGCGTTTTTGCATTGCATAGATGCAAAAAACGCATAAAAAGTTAGAAAGCTGGAGTTTTAAAGGAACGTTCCCTACTCATAAGAGCTTACAAATTCACCTCTCACGTATGGACACCTGAAAACTTTGGCAAGAAAATTGTTAACTCGGGAAAGGGGAAAGCTGGAAAGCCGAAATATTAGAATATCCCCTACCTATGTGCGACTAAACGATTTCAGATTCAGCTCTTCTCCTGGGGTCTTCAGCTCTTCTCATGGGGGCACTAGCAACCTCTTATTTGTTGGGTCACTGAAGCCGACATCTACAACTGACAACATAGTTGCACAATTAACTCCCTGAACTTCGAGGGCTAGTATTGCACAAATTTTGACTACTGAGATTCCTTGCGAACTTGCTGCAGCATGAAATATCGCAAAAACGCATGATCGCACCGGCTCGCCTGGTACGCATCGCCAATGGTTGGATTAACCAATGAGGCGAGGCGCATAACAGCAGATGGGATAAAGCGAAGAGGTATAAAGAGAGGATTCAAGCGACAAACCTGTCGTGTACAGTATTCTCCTCCTGCGACGGCTGTGCGAAGTTCGCCCTTTTCCTTCTCTGACGACATGGCGAAGTTCGTACTGTAATAGCTGTATGTGCTTGGTGAACCACTGCGTTTGTTCAGCGAGCCTCCCAAATGAAATATACAGTTGCTAGCAGGGCTGGTTACTCAACGCACTGAAAGAAGGCACTACGAAGGCGCCCCAATGGAATACTGCCAAGCTTCAACTGAACTAAACTCGTATCTTTCATCTTTTAGGCGCAAAAAGTGTCGACCCGAAGCGCACTTGATTGCTTTGCTTTCAGAAACTCGCTATATACCTCCTCATATGCGTCATGGTGGCGCAGCTCCGGAAACAATACCGGAAGGCGTGCCCGTCCAGGACAGTTGGTCCCGAGGCCCACAACAGTTCGTGCGAGGAGGACGTGGAAGTGGCGCGTTTGGTGACCGAAATATGCCGATGAGAAAGAGCCAGAGCTACGCTGGCATGCAACCGGTGCGGTTTACATATAAAAGCACTCAGCTAGATATCACTCAGTGGTTCTTGCCATATCCCAATAAATGGCCAGCGCAGCAACTGCCGGCGCGGAAATGCCTTTTTTGCATAGTCCCCCCACAGTTTTTTGTCGCTAACGACACTTTTTTTTCCGGCATATGCTTTTAGCTAAAAGAATTGAGACTGGATGCCAGAACTGTCAGGAAGCAACCGTTTAAAATTTCAGCTTTCTAGCTTTTCTGAGTTGTATGTAGGAACCACGCACACGTGCGGGCTAGGTTTGAACCTACGTGAGCGGAGGATATCCCTTTTAAATTACGGCTTTCTGACTTTTAAGTTTCCCGAGTTTGCAACTCACCCGAAAAGAACTTTCACGACTCATGCGTAGGAACCACGCATACCTGGGGACTGGGTTTGAAATCATTAATACCCACGTGGATGGGGAACATCCCTTTAAAATTTCAGTCTTCGAGCTTTTCAGGTTCCCGAGTTAGCAATTTGCGCCAAAGAATTTCAACGGGCCAGTACTTGGGGACCACGCATACCCGGGGGCTGGCTTTTTGGCCGTTAACACCTACACGGACAGGGAATATCCCCTTTAAATTCCAGTCTTCTAGCTTTACAGGTTCCCAAGTTTGCAGCTTGCCTACCAAAAAGTTTGGTGGGTACGTGCGCGGCTACCATTTAGGCAAGAGCGGCCATTGTGGGACTGAAGCTCGTATGTGCACGCAGATTAAGCTCCCAAAGTTTCAGCGCTGTAGCTTTCATAGGTCTTGAGATGAAAAATAGGTACAAACGAATACACAGACACAAACACGCACACAGATAACCTCTCGTCAGTATGCGTTTTCTGCATTGCATAGCTTCAAAAAACGCATAAAAAAGAGCAGCGGGTTATGCGGTTCCACTAAGGGTTACGCACACGTAAGCTCAGAATGGCGGCTGTATAGCCCGCTGCTCTGCTCAAGGAGCTGAACGCACCAAAAACAAAGTGAGCCAGAGGTTTTAAAATATTGGAAAAAAAAAATGATTGGTCAACACATTTGTCGCTAACAGCACTGGTTTTTCTAGCAGATGCTTCTAGCTAAAAGATTTTCATACTGGCCACCAGAACTGTCAGGAAACATCGCTTCAAAATCCCAGTCTTCTAGCTTCTCATTTTCCCGAGTTAGCAACTTACCCGGAAGAAACTTGCAAGGTCCTGTACGTAGGTACCATGCTTACTCGCAGGCAGGGTTTGAACTCGTTATTACCTGCTTGGACGGGGAACATTGCCCTAAGACTTCAGATCCACGAGTTATGAATTTACCCGAAAAAAATTTTGGCGGACTCGTACGCGGGTACCACGCTTACCCGGGGGATGGATTTGAACGCATTAATACACAGTTGGACGGGGAACATTCCCCCTACGATTTCTGCTTTCTAGCTTCTCAGATCCCCGAGTTATGTATTTACCCGAAAAAAATTTTGGCTGGTCCGTACGCGGGTGTTGGCGCCCATTTTGGGAATGGGTGCCGGCACGTGCATGTAGATTAAGTTGCCGAAATTTCAGCCCCGCAGCTTTTACAGGTCTTGAGATGAAAGTGCGTGACAGACGCACACACAGACACACGGATACACAGGCAAGCGCTCGTCAACATGCGTTTCCTGCATTGCATAGCTGCAAAAAGCGCATGAAAACGATGCAAAATGCTAATCTCGCCAGTGACCGTACTGCAACGGAAAGGTGATGTTGACTCGTAAAAAATTGGCAGTTAGGTAGATTTCCACCGGGAAGTGAATGGGTGCCACAGTCTCTAGCTTGAAACTGCCCGTTGTGGGGCTGCCGGCAAGCGCAAAAATTTCGCAGCATTTGTATGCACTACAAAATATCAGGCGAGGAGGGACTGTAAGCAGCCCATCGTTATTTTTGATGTTGAAAGTAGTGGAAGTGGCAATTTTCGATCACTTTTAATGACCCTCTTAGCTTTGATCATTTGTTCTACGATAGCAATTTGGCCAGTAAAAAAAGAGTAATGGCAAGATACGTCTACGGCCGTAAGAAAAGGTCATGTGCCATCAGGTGTTGAGATTGTGGTAGAAAAATGACTAAATTAAAGAAAAATGACTAAATTGGTCATGACCGCATAAGCAATCACATCAATGTTGTGCAGAGTATTGCTGTAACCAATCGAGGAAATCGAATAAGAAAAACTGTTGTCATAGGTTAAATGATTCAAAGCTAAGAAGGTCATTAAAAGTGGTCGCTTTAGTCCGAGATATTACAAAAGGTCATGTACCATCAGGTGTTGGAATTGTGGTAGAAAAATGACTAAATTAAATTGGATTTATCCCGAACGATTATCTCCTGCTGTAGAAAAAGATAGAATTTTTCGGAGACTTTCATGAAGGTCAGCAAAAGTGTCTAGGGAGCCTGGAGAGGTCACCTAGCTTCAGGGGGAAATTCCTTAATGACATCTGAGATATCCCAAGAGGTCATCTCACAAATGAACTTGTTCGGTCAGTCTGTGGCATCTAGAAATGCCCTCCAGAGATGGCCATTCTTTCGCTTATGCTGTTGGGCAGGTCGAAAGTTTACTACGGATACTTCATTCCATGTACCGTGTGGATGTGACTTCTGACTGCCATCACTGTTTGAAGGTGAGGGGAGGGGGGATGCGAAAGAGACGGGAAAAAGTGGAAAGAGCCAGAATTAAGGGGAGGGGGGAGGAGCAGGAGAGGGGAGAAGAGGGAACTGAATAAATTCCTTTACTCCTAGCTCCTGCGTTTACGAAAATTATGGAAGGCCGTTTGATGGTACCAGCATTTTTCAATTGTACAACTAAAACAGCGATGTTACAGCAAGGAGATTTCGTTACGCAATGGAGTTCCAGCGGCCTGGTGCAGGGAAATTACGACTACCAGCCGTCGATGGGTGGCAGACCAGGGCGTGGAAGAGCTGGATTCGGACCGCCTGTTGGCGGAGGCTTCAATCGTAGCGATGCTGGCCATGGACGCGGCAGAGGTGGAGCAGGCGACTTTGGGGGTGGTCGCGGCCGTCTGAACTACTCCGGGCGATACTCGTATGATAGAAGGTTCGTTTTCACAAAACAATTGAATGGCCCGGCGAGCATGCCCAGTGCTTGAGCGAACCACAGTTAACACTTTTTTAACTCAACAAATCCGTTCAAATTCGCATTTTTGTCCTAAATTACTGGTGTTTTTTGTGACAGTTTTCAAATATACCTTCTTGGTGTAGCAGGATTTTTGTTTTCTAAGAATAAGCTTTTGTAAATATCTCCGCAACACTTTTTCAAAAGCATTACTAAGTCCATTTAGCGCATCACCCCTCCCCCAAATTGCTTATATTTGACCTGACGAGGTCACTGGATGTCTTTCAGGACGCCCAATAACCCCCACTGGTAAACACATCTGAGCACAGCAGGCGTACGATCGATATCCTTCAACCTTCAGTGGAGTCCTTGGGAAATTAGGTACTCCACACAGCTGCCCTTTAATCTCCACCCGGAACTGATTTTCCAGGGTATACAGAGTATTTACCACTATGCTCAATCGCATAAGCTTTATGAGTTTTTCATTTTCAACTTTAAAGAATAAAAATGGTGACGATAATAACAATAACAAAATAATAGTAAAAGTACTAACAATGACAATGGTAATGGTAATAATAATGATGACGATAATTGTAATAATAATGATGATAGTGGTAATAGGAAAATAACAGTAGCAATAATAATAATAGTAATAATAGTAATGATAGTGATAACGATAATAATAATAATAATAATAATAATAACAATAATAATAACGATAATGATAATAATAATAATAACATTAATAATAATAATAACAATAACAGTAATAATAATATTAATGACGATAATAATAATAATAATAATAATAATAATAATAATAATAATGATAATAAAAACCACTATCTTTATATATCAGAATTTTCATGCGAGCTTCACTGCTTTCCAGCCATGTGTTTGTGTCCCCTACTCCAAACCTTTTTTCGATAATTTCATTTTTTTTTAAAGTCACTGGATTTTCTCCTTGTTTTTTGCGAGAGGCGCAGGCACTTGGAAGTGCCCCGATTTGCAGCATCTTCCAACAGGATCCACCCAATGCGATCTGGGGTGTCCTCTTTCAGAGCTTGTTTTCTGCATTTTTCCCGCCATTCGACTTCCCGCTGTGTGCTAGTTTTCCATCAAAACATCGTAATGGAATTGCTTTTCTCTCTGGCAAAGCCAATCTTTCGGCATCTTACCTAGGGCATTACCACTCTGTCGTGCTGAGGGTTCAGAGGCTGATGGCTCAGATCAGGAGAAGATGAATGGAGCAAGTAATTTGCACTGAAGGACACTCTAGCACGAAGCAGTGGTAAATTGCTCTGCGATTACGGTAATAGTTAGCAGCGCGCACCAGAATAGCAGTTGCGATCATGCGTTTTGTGTAATCCTGTCCACCAAACTACTGCCTGTTAATTATTTTCACTGCTTTACACTTTGGTTTGTGCAAAAATAGTTGAAATGTTGAAAAACAGTTAAAAATTTCACGCATCGGCAAATGAAAGCGGGATTTGAAAACTCGGATGGTGAATATCCTCCCAAGGTTTTAATCTCCGAATCTTCTGCTTTCGGATGATCTTTGAGACAAAACTTTCGGGTGATCGCACTTGAGACCTCGTCATGCTTAGGAACTGATTTCGAGTTTATAGGGTCCCTGCTTAGGCAGGAAAAATTTTCCTGAAATTTTTAGGCCCCTAACTCTTCCGGCTCCCAAGATAATGATTTTTCTCGCCGAAACCTCCACGGGGACGTCAGAAGTTATGAAGTTGTATGTGGGCGGGGTATGCCATGATAAAATTCCAGCTTTTTAGCTTTAGCAGTTCACGAGATAATTTCCCTACCAGAACTTTCGCGAAGCTGTACATGATACCTCGGACTGCGTGAAAGCTGGATCCAAATTTGCGGTTGTCGCACGCTGAAAGGGGATATTCCCCTAAAATTTCAGTTTCCCAACTTCCGTGATTCCAGAGGTAATATTTCCCGCCAAAACTTTCACGAAGCCGTATGTTATACCGCAGCGCGCGGGAACGCTGAATTTGAATTTGCAAGATTGTACATGGGCAAGGAGCCACTACCCTAAAACTTCGGCTTCCTGGGTTTCGTGGTTTCCGAGATAATAATTTACCAGCCAAAATTTTCACGGGGCCACAGTTGATGCCCGAGAGTGCGGAAGCGCTGAATTCGCAATGTACATAGGCAGGAGGTCATTACCCTGAGATTTCAGCTTCCTAGATTTCATCGTAACGAGGATAATTTCCCTGCCAAAACTTTTACGCGCTCGTACGCGGGGCTTGGACGAGCTTGAGCGTTGGTGTCGCGGTCCTGGGGTGGTACTTA